GTAAATTTTGTGTGGTATATATGTAAATTTATATATATTTAAATACATATTAAATATCTTTTTAAATTATATTTAAAATATATTTTAAAATATATTTTATATATAAATATATAAAATTTTATTGTATGTATGGCATTAAATTGTATATACTTGCCATGCAGTTGGTTTATCTTACCTAATAGTAAGTTTTGGCAGTCTTACAAGGTCAAGCCAATCCATAAAGGGCTGCATCATTTTAAAAACTGCTCAATGATATCAGTACTGCAGGGCATGGTAATACCACGCACAGTCTCTCTCTGTCCTTGTGTTGATGACGTCTGCCTTGGCTGGAGTTTTTTAGACTGACAAATGTGTCCCAAAAAACATTCTGGCACATGCTTCCTTGGGGACTTAAAGTGGTTCTCTAGACTAAATACCAAGAAACGAAATTGCTGGATAAAAGAGTAGTCCCATATTACATGTTGATAGATACTCTAAAATGGGCAGGGCCCTTAACAGAATAGCAGAAGGATGTGGTGATGAAGGGCCCGATTCCTGGGTTCAGATCTGAGCTCTGCCACTTACTAGCTTATCTTCTCTCTGCCTCAGTTTCTTCATCTGTAAAACTAAGATAACAGCAATATCTACTTCACTTGGTTGTTAGGAAAATTGAGTATGTATAAAGCTCTTCTGAATAGCATAGTAAGAACTTATATGAGTTAGCTGTAATCAGGAGCTTTGGGGCTAACATCAGCAAAACTACAAAAACATCTTCTTCTCAAATTGGGGGAGAGCAGGTAAGAGGTTATAGGAGAATTCTTTGACTATTTAAAGCCCTCGAGTGATGTCAAATTTTATTTTGGCTGATCCGCCCCATGCAGATAGCTGGTGGCGTGGCTGCTGTCATCAGGAAAGCTGCTGTCAACCGCAGGTGTCAGAGCAGAGCTCTCAGCCACATGCAGATAATGGGGAACTGGCTCTTCTGGGGCGAGCGGGAAAGCCAGCTGTCGGAGTGCTTTCTCACTGGGGACAGGAGGGATTAGTTCTGATTACTCAGCCTAATCCAATGGCAATTGGTTCCTGAATTTGTCACCTGAGCTACTATAGATTTGGGTACCACACCCACTGCCACTTAATACCAGTCCCATATTAGTTAGGGAAAAGTGCCTTCCCCAAAGATGAGTTCTGTAATTTCAAAGGGTGGGGAGGACAGAGGCAGACCAGGCGGGGAGATACAACTAACGTGTTTCTGGTGCCTTCTATTGATACATGTCATTCCCCAGGCTGGGCACTTCATAGACATCATCATATTTAATCCTCTCAGCGAAAATACCAGGTAGGTGTTCTTTCCCATTTCTTGGAAGCTTAAGGTTACTTTAAATGGCTGACGTGACAAACTTAATTCCTCACTGCCTACAAGTCCAGGTTTGTTGGAACTCAGCATTGCGTTCTTTCTTGGGTATGATTTGTATGTGAGAAACAGAAGCAAGAAAAAAAGCCCATGAAAAGATGCTCAATATCACTAGTCATTATGAACATGCAAATTAGACCACAATAAAATAGCACTTCACACCCCCTAGCATGGCTATAATAAAATAGACAGCCAAACGTGGGCAATGATATGGAAAAAAGCAACCCTCAAACATGGCTGGTGGAAATGTAAAATAGTACATGCATTTTGGAAAATAGTTTGGCAGTTTCTTAAAAAGCTAAACATAGATTGACCAAAAGACCCAGAAATTCCATTCCTAAGTATCTACTCAAGAGAAATAACATATATCCACACAAAGACTTGCACACAAATGTTCTTAGCAGCATTATTCACAATTGCCAAAAAATTGAAAATAACCTAAATGTCCAACTAGTGAATAGACAGACAAAATGGTAGAGCCCTACAATGGAATGCCATGGGACAACAAGAAGAAACAAACTAGGATACATGATACGACGTGGATGAACCTCAAAAACATTGTCATTATGCTCAGTGATAGAAGCCAGACACAAGAGACCGCATCTCATATCGTATGATTCCATTTCTATGAAATGTCCAAAAGAAGCTATAGAAAGCAGAAGTAGATCATTTGTTGCTGGAAATGGAGACAGTAGACAGAACATTAATTAACAATAAATGTGCATGAGGGATCTTTTGGGGGTGGTGAAAATGCTCTAGAACTAATCTATGTAATGGTTGTGCACCTTTACCTCATGAGCATTTAGAAAGGATGAATGATAGAGTATGCAAAATATGCCTCAATAAAGTTAGTTTTTAAAATAGAGGAAGAAGGAGACCAACATTTAATAAGCACCTACTACATATATTGCAACATTGCTTGTGACAGCAAAAGACTAGAAGTAACCTAAATGTCCATTAATAGGAATCTAGTTACAGTACATCTATACAATGGAATTTTTTTACTTTTAATAGCAATGGGCATTTAAAAAGAATAAGGCAGTTCTGTATGCACTGATATGGAATAATCACCAAGATACATTGTTAAGTGAAATAAACGAAATATAAAAGAGAGATGTATGATATTGGGGGAAGTGGGGCGGCGGATTGGGGGAGGGGGTTTATCACTTCGAGAGGTAAAAAGTATAACCATTGCACTGTGTTGTACAGCTGAAACTAATTCTAAAAAATGTGTATTTCATAATAAAAAATAATTAAAAGAAAAAAAGAGAGTGTAGAGTAAGCTATCACTTGTATAAACAAAAACAAAAAACCAAACACTCTAATATGATTTTTTATATACATAGTGATTCTAGAACTGCACAAGAAACTGGTAACCTGGTTGCCCCCAGGCCCAAGTGTCTGAGGAAAGGTGGTGATGCTACGCTGAGGACAGTGATTGTCTCTGCATATCCTTTTGAATATTTTTAATTTATAAACTTTATGCAATAAACAAATACAATTTAACTTTTAAATATTAATAGTGAGCAACTCCATGTGCCCAGCAGTGTGCCTGGCACATAGATATTGGGAACTGTTCATGCTGAGCTGTAGCTGCTACTCGACTCTCGGGATTTTTTAACTTTTTAAGGTGGAAAAGAGCATCTTCCACTGATATCCCTTTTCTCTGACACTTAAAATTTGTGGCAGTTTCCAATTTTTTAAGGGAGGGCTAAAAAAATAGCTCAAGGTTAAATGAAACAGGTGAGGGAGTTTTACACAACTGGAAAACACCGTGAATCACAGGCAGGAATTTTTTCCAAGGTCACATAGCTGGTTAGCAGCAGGGTCCATGACTCTTGATTTTCTGATTTTCAACTTATTATGTCAACAGGACACATTCCTCTGCGTATTTTATCCTTGTCCTCTCTCAGGGTAAAGACAGGCAAGAGAGAAAGGACCATGATGCTATAAACATACAGAGCATGACAGTGTTGTTAATGAGACCAACTTCTGTGAATTAATTGTCAAAATCACGCTGTGTGAGGTTGAACATAGCGGGCTGATCGCTGTGTCCAGTCTAGGTCTGTGTAATCATGATCATCACCAACCCTCTCTGGTTCCTCCTCCTGTCTCCTCCACATTCTCCGAGGCACTCTGTATTTTCATTCTCCCTCCTCCTGGTGACAAAAGTGGAAGCCAGTCCTTTGGAGAATGTTTATTTTAAATGGCACCAAGAGGTGTGGAATTTCCCTGTGGAATTTCAGGCATCAGCCAGTACAGGGAGGACCTGGGAAAAGTTCTGTCCCACTGCCTGGCAGAATAAGCCCACTCCTGGTGTAAGACCCGAGCCTGGATTTATTATGCTGAACAAATGACCTCTCAGTAAGCCTGTTTAAAGAAAGTCAGTGGTGGGGACCAGGGACAAAGTTCTGTGGAAAGTTATCATCTTACCTCGGCCACCTTCTACCATCATCCTTCAACCCAGCCAGTCAGATGGTCTCAGAGGGAAATTTTACTTTTGCCTTCACATGCCCTGTTTTCTGAATAATTTTGTTTTTATCATTCTTTAACTTTTTTATTTTTATTTTTGTAAAGTGTGCCTTAGAAATAAGAAGCACTACACCCACTGATAAGCACCTGGGGAGGAGGGGGCGCACTGCATCCAAGGGTTTGGTCCATTCAAAGGCAGGACTATTCTGTGGGAGACTATTTTAACTTGTCTGGGCTGGAATTTAAAGCAAACCCATCCTAAATCTCTAAAGTGTAAAGCTACCCATGGCTATCCTTATGACTAAGAAAAGAGATGGTATGACTTTAGAGGCCTTTCTCCATAATTTCCCAAAACTCCTAAAGTGACCATTTTGCTTGTCCTCCTAACTCCATTCCATGCCTCTCCCAAGGCTCAAGTCTGGCGATGGGTGGGCTGGGCCTTGCCCTTCCCGCTTTGTGGGAGCTGATTGGTCTAAACCAGGGGTGTCAAACTCAATTAAAACACAGGCCATTTGGTGCAACAGGCAAGATTCACGCAGGCCACATCACACTTAAAAATTTTGTTAAATTTATATTCTGAAGTGAGGATTCAAGAATATGGATAGGATAATTAAAACACTATATAATTGCTTTTATTTAAACATTTATTTTATTTAATGTATTTATAAAACTAAAATTATTATTTTTTACCCGAGTGCTCTTTTTAACCTTTTTGCTGTTGGGATCTGTTTACATTACGTGACACTGACAGTGGCAGACATATTGCTTCCAAACATCGCCGGAACTGAGTCAGCGCATTTATACAGCCCACAGGCCCCCAGGAAAGGCACTGGGCCACGTGTATACTCGTCTTCAGTAGTTAAAGGGTTAACGAGGGAATTGTGTGTACGGTATTGCCTCGATCTCCCCTAAGCGCTATTTTCTTCATAACAATTTTTTCTATTTTCATTTTATTTCAGAGCATGGTGGACCATAAAAAATTACCTCTCCGACCGCATGCGGCCCGCAGGCCTCCAGTTTGACACCCCTGGTCTAAACAAATCAAGTACTCCTCGGTAATTGGTTTATTAACCCAAGCCTAAGCCAATCAGCACATGGCTCTCTCCGGACAGTAGTTCAGGGGTGATCCAATCAGTGCAAAGCTTAGGTCTTTCACCCTGTCCTCTAAGCCCAAAAAGGAAAGTCATGTGGACCCCAGAGAAGGCTGATAACCATTTGTGAGACTGAGAAAGTCAGCCTGAGGTGGAAACCAAAGCACAGAGAAGAGCAGAGTTTCTAGAAATGAAGAGAACCAGATCCAGGAGTCCTGACCAAACTCTTGGACTTGTCAGTTGTGGGAGCAATAAATTCTCACTACTGTTTACGCTAGCTTGAGCTGATGTTTGATTGTTACTTCTAGAAAGCGTGCTACAACATTCATATCTTCTCCTCCCTGGCCCATGGTGCCTGAAAATCCTACCACTGGCCCTCCATTCCAGATCTCTATGTCGGACATGCCTTCACCAAGCGATAGACAGAAATAAAGGATTTAGGATTAGATGGCTTAATCAAAGAATGCTTCTCCAAGAAAGTTCTGGGGGCACCTGTAGAAAGCTTAGCCTAACCAAATGAATTCCTGATTTCGATTCGCATCCTATCTCTTTTTTGCCCTCCATGTTTTGTTTTGTTGGTGGTTGTGGTTCCTTTACACAAAAAGACCACCTTCCATCTCTATATGTTCAAATCCCACCAGTTTTAAAACCCCAGCTCAAGTGCTAGCTTGTCCTTGATGCCTCCTTGGATAGCCTCAGCTGGTAAAAGCAGCACCCTCTGAAATGACGGACCGTTCAACTCAGTGTGTCCTCTCCACACTGAGTATTCCCCACAGACATGCTCTGCTATAAGATGTTTGCCCGCAGGACACCTGATGGGTTTATCTTTTGCCCTCTCCACAGCTCTAGCATATTGTGGCTGGGCCTTCTGCATCTTTGAGAAGTAAGCAAGTTTAGTGTTTGAAAAGAGCAAGCACAGTAGGTTTTCTTCAGGAATTATGGGCCAAAGAAATGACTAAAGCAGTGGTTCTCAGGGGTGTGGACCCTGGACCACAGTATTGGCATCACCTGGGAACTTGTCAGGAGTGCAAATTCTTGGGACCTTCAGAATCAGAAACTCGGAGGGGTGAGACCCAGTAACCTGTGTTTTAACAAGCTCTCTAGATTCTGTTGCACTTTAAAGTTTGAGAACCACTGGACTAGAGGAAGGTCTTAAACTACTAACTGAGGAGGGAATGCACCTGGTTATCTAAGAAGGGATTGAAGACCAAGTGAAGATCAAGGTGAGTTGTGTGACCCTGGGCGTGCTGGTAGCAGCCATGAAGGAAATGGCTTTGGGAGGGTTAGGGTGCTATGTACTCAGAAAGGAATTCTTCACAACTGTTGTTTCCTCAGCCTGTGTCTGTCTTTTTTACCTCATGTCCAAAGTCTCCAGGTCATTCTGGGCCATCCCAGGTGGGTGTGCATTGGCCGACACCTCAATGAGGGCTCTGAACATTTTTAAATGTCCTTTTCTGTCATTTAAGTCATGTGTATATTCTTTCATTTTTGCCAACCCTAAGAGGACATGGTCACTTTCTCCCAAGTTTCTTTACATTTCTGAATTTCAAGATTTCCTTTTTTGGCAGAATTAAACCCACAGTGACAGCATTCCTTGTGAACCTGTCAGTAACTCAAACAAAGAATTTATTAAGATACTCTGATGTGCCTGGGCAAAGGCTGTGGGGCATCTCAGTAAAGATAAAAAGAGCAATCAATAAAAAAGACCTGATCAAATTCTTCAGAGCTGTCCCGTGAGCCAAGTTTGGGGCTCTTGTCTGCTCCATCCCTCTGTGGCTGACTCACCCTCAGCCCAGAGCAAGGGAGCACACTGACCTCGAAGTTCCAGCTACCACTCCTGAAATGACCCACTCAGCTACAGTCTCTGCTCAACCACCCAATGGCTAGTCCACTTCAGAGCATTCTCACCTGACGTACTCAATGCTTGTGTCTAAACAGAATAGGAGTCAATACAGAGCTCAACTATAATCTTTGAGGAAAAGGTGGGCTTGTGCCTTAGTTTCCATAGTAACCACAGACATCATCGTGTATGCAGAAATTCACCTTTACCTTCCACTCCTATGGATTCATGAAAACTCATATTTAAATATAGTACTGATATGTACTAAAAAGCATTACCAGGAGATGCTGATAAAACTCTGCCTCTCTTTTTGGATAATAAATACATCATCAACCACTTTCAGACAAAAATATGTATTGTAGATGCATTCTAAAATATAATATTTAAAAAGGTTTTCCTCTCAAGCACATTGTTTTCAAGTACAGTATTTTCCTCAAAAAATCTAACTATGTTATTTTTGTTTAATCATTGCACTGATGTCAAAAATGTGTACTTTCTATTGCTTTATAGTTTATATTATTAATCCATTATGAAATTTTAGGACAGAGAGAGATAGTGATAAAGAGAGAGGGATAGAGAGAGGGAGAGAGAGAGAGAGAGAGAGAGAGAGAGAGAGAAAGGAAGGAAGAGAGATTTTTACTTAGCCTGGAGGAAGAACTTGTAGAGAAACTGCGATATGACAGATACTTTAGGGGTGTTTACTCATCTAATCCCCCATCAATCCTGTCAAAGTTGATGTTATCTTCCTTTTACAGATGAGAACATTGGAATTCAGACAGGCTGAGAAATTGAGCTAGAGTCACTGCTTCTCCCCATCTCCACCCAGAGTGGCACATTCGACTGCATCCTCCTTGCATAAGCTGATATCTACATGTAAGTGCACAGGGCGCTGTCAAAAGTGAATTAAATGAGGGGCGGGGAGATCTCTGCAGGTGATGAAAATAGGAACTTGACCATACCTAAAATCTTCCCCTATCTGTGATTTGATGTTTCACAAAACTGTCAAAAGGACAATGTAATTTGGGAGCTGAAATACCGGGAGTGCCAGAAAAAATGTATACAAGTAGATAGTTTGGTCAGCGTTGCTCAAGCAGTAGTCCGCCATCATCAGAGGTGTCTGGACACTGATGGTAACCACTTTGAGCACCTCTTGTAATTGCAGAAGTCAAACATGACTTGTATTCATCTTTTGTTATCGGTATATATTGAGCATTACAATTTTAATACAGTCTTCCTTTCTTAAAATGTGTATACATTTTTTTGGCACCCTCTGTACATTTAGTTTGTTTTAAATCTGGATTTCCAAGATCTGAACATGTTTTTTAACCATTAGTGCCTCTGAATACAGGATTTGTCAATTTGTCGATTCAGAAACTAGCCTACAACATTCTGGGTTTCAGTTCAGAAGCCACATAGCAAAGAATCTCATTCAATTTACCCTTAGTTGGTATGCTGTTATAAAACATCTCTTCGCACTCCTGGTAAATTAATCTTCAAAAATGAAGGCTACTTTTACTTAAGGAAAAGTTTGTGAAAAGAAACTGATTAGAGCAGAAGCAGCTTTAAATGCTGTTCTTGCTTTTATCTATTTTTAAATGATTGCCAGATGTCTGTAACTGATACCCTTAATAAGTGGCTTTCAAGTTTGGATGTGTTCATCAAAGTATAACGTGAGAGTGGTGCCATTTCATTAATGGAATTTGGGGGGCAGACCTTTTGCCTTAAATTTAAAAAAAAATCTATGTAACAACTAGAGTACAACGTCATGCCTCTATAGTTCACAATACTGTATTATATGTACACTTAAAAAGTTTATTAAGAGGATCGATCTCAGGCTAAGTGTTCTTACTACAATTAAAAAAAAAAAAGAAAGAAGATCTATTTTAATGACTTGATGAGTGTTTGCAACAGCCATTTTGAAATGCCTGATAGCTTTTTAGCAACTTGCATTCCTGTTGTCAGACGAGATACTGCTATGTCCACTCAGAAAGTGAGGGTTTGCAATCATCCAGATAATCCAAGTAGAAGACATAACTTTTGACTAAAATACTAACCTGTTTTGACAAAAGTACCTGGGGCCGAGTTACCTGAATAGTTACCTCAATTTTTCAAGTGACTTTGCAAAGCCTTTGACTCATCCTATATGTCTGGGGTTTTTTCTCATTGTTGAGATAGCCATGATGTGAAAGAACCTTTTAAAATTATTATCAAGCCAAAATAAGAAGATATAAAAAATAATAATTTCCAAGAGGGTCAGAATGGACCTAAACTGAAAATGAGAATGTGACCACTTTAAAACCCTATATACCCCAATATACCATGTAGCCCTTTGTTTCATTTTGTTCAGTTTCATAAGAAAACAATCTGCTTTGGTCCCTCCTGTAGAAAAGTAAACAATGACATATTTAAAGCACAGCTATTCCTTATTAAAAAACCAAAGTCTAAATACTTACTTTTCGATACTTTTTGTCCCAGAGACGTGCTAGGAGAGCTGGCTCGGCTGTGGGCTCCCCAGGCTGTGTGTGAGGCATTGATTAGGTGTCCCTGATCCTGGGACTGGGGATTCAGAGAAGCTACAGGGCTCAGGGTCTTTTCCACGAAGGAGTCAAAACACAGTTGGGTCTGTTTCCAGAAAAGCGCCTATCTTCCTAAGAGGGAAAGTTCCGTGCCCAGGGAAGTTCTGGAAGACGAGCATTTTTCCCTGCCCTTGGATGAACTAGGTCATTGCTGAAGCTGGAGGATATTTTTTAGCATCACTGTGATGAAACTTGAGGGCTGTTCCTGCAGTAGGTGCGACACTTGTTGACGCTGGGGAGGCCTGGCACAGGAGACTGGTGAAATGCAGCCCCAGTGAGCTGATGAAACCCAGACGAGCTGTCACTGATGTCTCGGGAGACCAAGCAGCGTTTTTGCAAAACCCATGCAGGACCTGAGGTTTAGCTGCTCACCTCTTAGGAAAGAAAGTCTTGCTGCCTGACAAAGTGATTGAAGCTGGAATAACACCAACAGTTCTTCTACCAAGGGTATCAGGCATCCAAAGTACACATAGGAAACCCATGGAGGGCGTGGAGGGGAGGCGAAAAGAATTCTGTTGTTCCTTCAGAACTGGTAGCACAGTCGTTCTCTGAAGTTCTCTGAGAAAAGCAGAAACCACACCAAGGCAGGATCCCCCCTCCTCTCACCTCCTCCCCCAGCAGTCACTCTATTCTCTCCCTCCCCACACACATTCTCTCTCCTTATTGTGACGACAGTATTAAGAAGAGACTAGAAAGAGAAGGAACCTACAGAAGTAATACCATGGCTCCTGCACCTTCAGACGCTCAGGAATTGTTCCTGTTGACAAAAATAAATTTTGTATTGTGGGCATATCTTTCATTGAATTTTGTTGAAGTATCATTCTGTATTGGCTTTGCCTCTCTACACAAGTATTTTAATGTACCACACCTGGAAACTGACAGCTTAGAAAGAAACCTCTTATGAAACGCACAGAGGAGGCTAAAATTAGCAGCCCTTAGTGGGTGACTTTGAAAGGGACAAAACGAAATAGTCACTCCATCCTGGGCACTTCAGTCCCCAAAAGCACATTGTTTTCACACAGCACAGAGAGTGCATCACTAGGCCTTCCTTGATGGAATGAAAATTTTCACAAGACAAAAAAAAAATCATCTAAACTTATTTCATATCAAGAAGTGTGTGGCTGATGTGTTCTGTGAGTTTTATCTTCATCCGAGAAGAAAGCTACTGAAAGCTGAGAGACTAAAATAATGACTGTCTCTTTGGGAACACAGCCATGAAACGCAACAAAATGCAGAAATTACCAAACCTTGGCAACCGTGAGTATCTGTCGGTTTTATTAAAGCTGGATCCTTTTCAGAGGGTCTTTCCAGATAAGAGGTGCTAACTTGAAGATGAGAGTGTAGAGAGGAGGAGGGTGATGTGACAGAAAATAAACAAATGGTATCACACAGCAACAGGATAGGGTAAAGCCAAAAGGGAACCAACATCCCAGTGCAGTAGGTAAATGAAATATGGTCTTGAAAGAACAGTGCCTGGGCGTTCCTAAATGGAAAATTAACACTCATCATGAAACTGAATTTCGTTCCTCACGAACAATTTAAAAGATGAACTCCCTCAACTCCTAGTAAAATAAAGTTAAGAAGCAGAGGACTTTATATATACATAAAGAAACCTCTTAGGACACTCACAGAGATAACTAAAATTAGCAGCCCTCAGTGGGTGACTTTGAAAGGGACGTAACTAAATAGTCACTCTGTCCTGGGCACTACAGTCCCCAAAAGCACATTGTTTTTACACAGCACAGAGTGTGCATCAATAGACCTTCCTTCATGGAATGAAAATTTTCACAAGACAAAAAAAAAATCATCTAAACTTATTAAATATCAAGAAGTGTGTGGTTGGTAGGTTCTGTGTATATGGATTTGCCTGTATTTCTCATTAGCTTGCAGCCGTAGAACTTTTGTTTTCATCTTAGGTTTGGGGAAGTAAGACTGGAAGAATCAGAAACAGGGATCTTTGGATTAAACTCCATTAGGCCAGGGCTCTGTCCTGAATTTTCTGTGATTATTCAAAGGGGAGGATAGAAGGAGATAGAAGAAGAGAAGCTGAAGAGAAAAAGGAGGGCCTATGTTTGTGGCCCTCTAATAGCACCAAAAAAATATACGAGTTTGTCATTAAAAGTAAAGACCTAAAATGTTTAGGTCTTTCCCAGTAAGTAGTATGAAATATAAGAAAATATGTTTAAGCAAGCCCTTGTTCTGAAATACAAGAGGAAAAAAAAAAGAAACTTCATTGTGAAGAGATTTTCCTCTAAGACGCAGAATTGAACGTGTATGTTTGTATCAGATGTTTTGTGATCATTTCTCTGAAAGGCATTTTGGGTTTTGTTACTCTCTTGGCTTCCTGAATGAGTGGGGGGGGGTACCACTCGGTTCACAGGTCGCTTTAGGCTTGCAGAGCACTGGGATCCCCACTCATCTGAATATTTAAAGAAAATTCATTAGGTTCTTAAGCTGCTCTTTGCTCCCAAAACTTGGGCTTGGATGGGTACGTGAAGGGTGTATCCGCTCATTTTATCCTTCCTGGCACAGAAGGTCCGCGAACATTCATGTCTTATGGTATGAGTGACGGATGCCCGTTCCCGGGCAGAGCACATTCTTGGCTGCAGCTTGGTACCAATCACATGTCAGGGCAGATCAGATTTTCTGCCAGGGTCCTTGGGCCAAGCTGGAACTGAGCAGGTCACTCCCGCTTCAGGGAGCAGTCAACGTTTGGGGACGGTCCCCCCAAGACTGTGAGCATAACTCACTCTCCCTCTCAACAATTCGTCCTCATCCAGGGTGCAGGGGTTCTTGTGTTTTTTGCACTATGATGGGTGGTACCTCATTCTGTGGATGTGACCTGAATCAGGCATTTGCAACCTTCATTCAGTTCCCTGTATTTTAAAAGACTGTCAGTCACTCAGGTAGGTCGACTCCAAAGGCATTTTTTTCCCCTCAAGCACAGCTGCAAAAGAAATGTTCATGTAAATAAGACTCTGTTCTTCAATGGTGTTTTTCACCCCAGGTAACAGATTTCTATAACATTCTTCATTTTAAATATTTGCAAAATAATCATTTAAAAATACAGTTTTATCAGAATTTGTGTATTGGAGAGGGAACTTTTCCAAACATATGAATGTTGTTTGGAATTCGGATTTCATTTCCCCCCAAAGTAGCAAAACTATAAATGCTATTTAGGTTCACAGAACACCTTATAGGGGTATTTAATCCATCATGTTACTGAAGTGCTATATTTCAGCTACTTAAAACTACAAGTATAAAAACCAGGATAAAACTCAATTTAACTACGTAGGATTTTGGAAAAAAAATCCAAACATTCATGTGATAAAATTCTGGCACAATTTATCCCAGTTTCATTCCCAAACTTCAGTTTCATTAACACACACACACACACACACACACACACACACACACACACACAGTATTACAAATCTCAGAACAGAAGCAAAATTCCAATTTTCACAAATGTGTATGTTGAGCCCTACGCCCAATTTCACAACTACTAAGTCAAATTAACTAACTGAAGCGTATATGGCAATTTAAATTTTAAAAAATATTTGCGTATGCTATGTATAATTGGTATTTTATAAAAGTTTCCTTTTTAAGGCTTTTCTTCTGATTATAAAAGCAATGCATACTTTTTACTGAAAATTATGTACTCATTACTGAAACTGTTTAATATTTTGACTTCAAATCTCCCCCCATCCACAGATAGCCACCATTTTGGTGTATTATTTCCTTCTCCTTCTATTTTCCCTTTGTGCATGTGCATACATAACCGTTTTCTTTTCTGTTCTTTTTTTTTTTTCCACTTAACATGACCTCTCATTTAGAATTCTTGAGGCAAGCCTACATACTATTCTATCACTTGAATGTGTTATACTTTACATAGCCAGGGTTAGATATTTGGATTGCTTATATATTTTGCTTTTATAAATAATGATGTGAAACATTCTTGCAAATAAATCTTTGGGCACATGGATCTTATTTAAGGATAGGGTGTTCAAAGCTACATTAGTGGGTCAAAGGTTATGAATATTTTAAGGTTTTGAAACATATTGCCAAACAAAACTCTAACAGTTGTACCATGTGATGTTTCCACCAGCAGAGCCTGCCAATCTCACTGAGAGAGTATCTTGGCACTGAGCGCCATCACTGAAAATGTTTTTACCAACCTGACAAACAAAATCGTTATTTGAATGCACATTTTTTTGGTTACTAATGATATTATTAATTCAATATTATAGTTAAATACTACTTTATAAGTTCATTGGCCCTTTTTCTTTTATGAATTGTCTTTTCAGTTTTTTTATCAACTTTGCAATTTGAGTGTTTTCCTTTTGCACACCTAAAAGCACATCATATTTCGTGTGCGGCAAACAGGTTCAATCTTCCAGTTTTTGGTTTGCCCTTTTATTTGTGAAGTCTTAAAATACAGAAGTGATGAATTTTTACTTAATAAAAACTCTCTCAGGGGGGAACGGGGTTGTTTAATGGGTACAGAGTTTCAGTTCTGCGAGATAAAAAAGTTCTGAAAATCTGTTCATGACAATGTGTATATACTTAACACTGCTAAACTACACACTTACGAATGGTTAATATGGCACATTTTATGTTATTTTTTTACCACAATTTTTTTAAACTATTTTTTCTTTTGTTTTTTTTCCTTTGTGTATAAAATCCCCACCCCTCCATGTACTTACTCACCATCCCATATGACTGCAAAGCAGGGTTGAGACTAAAGTTGGGTTTAAATCAAGCTCTTCTCCCCCTTTTTCGTGTCACTTGGTCCGTGCTAGCGTTCTTGATCAGTTTATGCTGTTTTCCTTAACCCAGATATCTAAGGTTCTCAATTTCCTTGCTGCTTTAGGGGATTCCACTCTTTGCAATTAAGAGTTTGCTACAAACTGAATGGATTGGAGAAATGGATGGAGATAGTCTCAGAGACACAGAGGAAGAACTGAGGTTGTTAGTTGGGAGGGGGTGGGGATGAAGGAGAAGGGGAAGGGATGAGACAATACAAATTAGTAATTGTAATATGGCCTCAGGGATAGAAATAGACAGTCCGAGGAATATAATCTATAATGTTGTAAGTATTTCTTAGGGGGCCATATGGACCCATGTCCTTTTGGGGAGTCCACTTCATAGTCGATGTAGAGGCCTGACCACCGCATTGTATTTCTGAAACTGATGTTGAATAATACTGTATGTCAACTATAATTATATATACATATAGTCTCGGGACATGGAGTAGAGAGCGGGAACGGAATCAATGGAATTGTAATAGATAAGCATGATATTGGGGGTGGGAGGGCAATAGATGAGGGGAGGGGGGTTGTTACCTGGTGAGGGTGAAAAGGGTAACTATTGTATTGTTCTGTACACCTGAAACTAACAATAAAAAATAAATAAATAAATAAATAAATAAATAAATAAATAAATAAATAAATAAGAGTTTGCTACAGGTATAACAGTTAGGGTTTTGGCTTGAAGACTCTAGATTTTTTTCCCCTCCATTAAAATTAGAATGAAATGGGAGTTAGGACTTTCAGCTATGACTGAATGAGGACGCTGGACAATTTTCTCCCCCAAAAGCAACTACCTAAAGATGGACAATATGGACAAACAGCCATTTTAACGCTCTGGAAATCAACCACAGGCATGCAACAATTTGAGAAGCACTTATGATTAAAGAACCTCTCAACGGTAGGTACTATAATAACAATGAGTCTCTACGGCATTCATTGCTTAGAGCTGCTCCCATGACCCTACCCAGCTCCAATGTCACAGAGGTTCTGCAGGGCAGGCTGTGAGCACTGGCATTTGGAGCGGTGGACAACACCTCTGCCCAGCAGTGTCATCGTTGGAAGTAACTCTTGACAGCAATTTTGAGTAGAGAAGGCCAACTTCTGGCCTGAGGATGGGATTGGGGTTGGAGCAAGGATCTGTCGGGCTGAGGCTGTATGCATATGCAGTACAGACCAGGGAGGACTCACCTATCCAGCATGCACAGAGGAGACATGCAAGGGCCCAGCAGAAAGTAAATATCCAGGCAGACTCAAAAATGGCCATAACTTGAATGCATCCCCCTACCCACACAGAGGTATACTGGTAGAGGATGGGAGTTTTACTGGCTCAAGGTATTTGAACACAACTTCTGTCCAATCATTAGTGGACCACTAGGCTATGAAGACACAGGGGTGATCCCTAGAAAACCAAGCTTTAAAAAATGGTAAAGAAAACTGAGCAGAAAT